GATCCAAAACGTTGTTTGCATTAGATTTTATTTACTTACAAACACCCTGTGATTTCTATAAATCCAATTTGGTCAATCACACGGCCGTAAGGGTGGGTAACTCAGCAAATTTATAGGAGTTGACTCAATGACTCCAACTCACTTTAAGGAGTCAGCTCATTCAACTAACTCATTTGACTCTTTGTATGTTACACTCATTCGTATCGTAGACTCGTTTTGAGGCATAGATGCGGTATAGCGGCCGTTGAGATAAAACAAAACTTTAAAGTGGGGGTGGTCAGCTTCTTTCTACTGATTTGAAAGGTGTAATTTTTTTTGTGTGCAAATTAATAGGGCGGTGCTAGGGGGAGGGTAAAGGTGGAATTTTCAATATTTTCAAAAGCTTATATTTCGAAACCTATTGTACCGAATTTCAAAATGTGGATATGGTTGGAAAGGCAATTGATTTGATATGCACATCTTTATATATCTTACATACATACATATTTCGAGAAAAACTAAAAAAAAAAACGAAATTATAAGAATTTGTGAGATTTGACATAACACCCGCAATACAAAATACATGTGGTGGTTATTGTTGTATTCTTGCCACCACCTTGTATAAATTCGCCTCGTGCAAAAACAAAATGCAAGACTTTGCCATGCTAAACACTGTGGCGAAGCGAGAGAGTTATATGGACAAATATGAGCCACTATGATTCAATTGATTCATGTGAGCCCTACGGCATCAACTGAGTTACTGAGTTACATTTTTTTTGGACAGGGAGTCTGAATTACCGATTCACTTATAGGAATCAACTCAATAACTCAACCCTGAGTTGAGTTACCCACCTCTACACGGCCGTATTTGTTTTTTCCTCACACGTATTCGATATGGAAATCGCAAAAGTTTGTGGAAATATAAGTATTTGTTAATATTTATCAATCCAACAATGGATAAGGACTCGGATAGCACTGTAACATCACTAGATGAGAATACAGAAAATTTCTGCACCAATCCTACTCGAGATATCTTGGCAGAGGGTATCGTAAACTTGTTCAAGCCATCGGTGGAAAAATTAGATGAACATATCCAAGCCACTAGGGCTTCACAAATAGAATTGAAGAAACAGTTGACCGCACTTTCAGAGCAATTGGTTGAAATTGAAAAAGCACAGCATAATATTCCAGAATTTTCGAGCAAGGTCAAGGAGTTAATTAACGTGAAGCACAAGGTAACAGTTATAACAAATATTCTTAGCACAAGTCAGGATCGTTTGGCTGGCTTGTACAAACTAATCGAGAAGGAGCAGCGGCGTAGGCAAGCTCTGTTGGATTCAGCTATAAGCACAAACATTTCTTAGAAAAGTGAAGATGGAAACACCCTATACAGACCACTTAACAGCGGCCGATTACGAGCAGGTATATGAGGCTGCAGAAGATACGTTTCTATTGCTGGATGCCCTAGAAGCTGATCTCCCATACCTCGAAGGCTTACAACCTCTAGTTTGTTTGGAAATTGGACCCGGTAGTGGAATAATTGTAACAGCATTGGCTAAGAAACTGAATAAAACGCTATGCTTGGCTACCGACATCAATTCATATGCATGTAAAATGACGAGGCGAACAGCGAATCGCAATTGCACGCATGTCGATAGCATAAATTGTAACTTGATGGACGCTCTACGAGAAAAGTGTATAGATTTACTTATATTCAATCCGCCTTATGTTGTAACCACAGACGAAGAGTTCAAATATCAATCACTTGCCGAATCGCAAAAGCCAAGTAATCTTGTATACTCATGGGCAGGCGGATTACTTGGTCGACGTGTTGTTGATGAGTTGATTAAGAGTCTGGATGGTATTCTATCTGTTAAAGGAGTCTTCTATTTACTGACACTTCACGAAAACAAGCCGGACGAATTGATGCAAGATTTGACTAGCTTAGGTTTTATTGCAATTAAGTTTATGGAGAGGCGGATACCAGGGGAATATCTTTATGTTTTGAAAATAACGCGTAGGTGATTAGTTCTATGCATTATCCCCAAAGTGATCTGCTTATAAAAAAAAATAAGAAATTTAAATAATGAAAACACGTAAATAAAAAAGCACTTATTAAATTTATCTACGTTAGTTCTCTACGTATTTTGAAAATAAAAAAAAACGCAATTAGACGTTTTGTGAGAGATTAAATAATTTCAATAATTCCATAAAAGCCAATAATTTTAAAGGTTCATTGCAGATGAAAGTTTTATTGATGTGGTTTACACAAAGTATTGTGGTTTTCGCATTGTAATGCCATGATCGGCCAAAGCTGGTGTAAGATCTTCGACGGCCAAAGTATATCGTCGATCCTTATTCGGCTTCTTATCCTAGAAGTAAAATTGGATTGCAACAAAATCTTTAATTTTTATGTTGCCAAACAACTTACCTTGTTTGAACCATGACCACCAGAGTGTTGGCTGCTTGTTCGGGTTTTGCAGTGCTGCAATGCGTCATTGGCAATGTCGGAAATGAATTTCTGCGCTGCCACTGAAATTATACGCACAATACGAGGATCCATTGTCTCAAATCCTGCCTGGTTCAAATATCTTGCAGTAAGAGCATCTGGTACAGTTGGGATATAATCCTCCAATTGTTCCAGCAACTCGCCCAATGCTTCACCTACTGGGGCTGGCAATGGTGGAGAGTCTTCCTGATCTACCGGAGGTGATGCTGGAGAGGGTGAATTCTCTTCGTTGCCAATTACCATTTTGTAAGAAAATGCCAATGCCTTTGGTTAACACGGAAAAAATGTTTTTTGTTATTATTTTGTGGAGGTATTCGACGATTTATACAAGGATTTAGTGTTGGGGTAAAATCAATTGCACTGTTTATACTATCGATAGTAATTTTTTTCAATCATTCGATTTTGTTTTGTACTATCGATTGTTTATACAAATACACCACAAAAGCGGCTCGACCATGCAAGAAAAATATCCCTTTGGTTCAAGGTATTTGAGTTGTGTGGTCGTGTTTGCCGGTTTGACAAGCCGTTTGCGGGACATTTGAACCAAAATCGAACTTTTTTGATATTCTAGCTGCCATGTTGACGCCGTTTATGTCTGCACACACGGTCTCTCACACTGTCTGTGTAAAATCAAAACATTTTTAGTTCGG